ACCCCGGTGATGAAGGAGCCGGTACCTCCAGGGAAGCGAGGGGCGAGGGGTGTGGCAGGAACGTGTCATCTCAGGGCCAGAGGCTGACATGATGCTGGAGGGTGTCCGGAACAAGACCAGGAAGCTGTCTGTGCCCAGAGAAAGAACCTGAGTTTTATTTTCTATGGGCAGTGAGGAGTCTTTGGGAAAGGTTTTCAGTCAGGAGGTAACACGGTAACTTTAAAAGCCGGGTCTTGGGGCGGCATGAGGATGGGCCTCCATGTGCCGGGGAATGTGGGTGGGAGGGGCTGCGGAGCCAGACCCCGCCCCTCATGAACAGTAACGTCCTGGACAGTGTCAGGGCGACCCCCTCCTTCAGAGGGGGCTGGCCAGGGCCACCACCAGCCTGCAATGTCTTCCTGACTGTTTAGCTCTGAGCCAAGGCACACACTTGACCTGGCGATAGGACCACGGGCTCCGTCCCCACCTCTGCCTGTCCCTTGGATGCGTGGCCCGTGCACTGCAGATCCCGTGCTGCTTTGCCATTCATCGCCCAAGCTGAAGCTTCCTTAAGCACAGGGTTGGAGAGATGGAGTGCAGGGCGCAAGGGCAGGGTGTGTGCATGGCACAGCCGCCCCTCGAGCAAAGAAGACGATAAGTGTGATGGGTAAGGACAAGTACTTCGATAAACCCACGCACGTGGCTTCATGACTCTGGACAGGTCAGATATCTCTCTGAGCCTTACATTCCTTGTATGTTAAACAGAGACGCAGGTCCCTACCTCACTGGGCAACTGTGAGAATTCAATGAGATAATGTACACAAAAGCACTTCACTTGGTAAGCATATCGTATACACTCATGCATGTTAGCTATTAATTTTCTACAACTACCAATAAGAATGCAGATAGCCCTTCTACACCTGGAAAAGGGTGTTCGCTGTATATGCACTCAAGTGGGTGTCCCCGCCCCCGGAACTGCTGCCACCCTGTACCTCAGTGGGTGGGGGACCAGCATCCAGAGGTGGACAGCAGGGGTGGAACCGGGGGAGTCGCAGCATTATGGAGCTCAGCTCTATCTGCTCACGAGATCATAGCAGCCTGGTGACACCTGCTCACAGGGCAGGACCCCTGAAGGACACCCCAGGACAGGGTTCACGTGGGAAGCAGGCGTTCTCTGCCCGCCCTCCGCCTCCGTGCAGCCGCACCTCTTCGCAGGCCCACTTGCCCTGCACTCAGTCTGATTTTCCTCTCCTGGCTCATCCCGCCACCACGCTCTCGGCCGCTGCCTGCACCATCCTCTGTCTGCATGGAAAGGGGACTTTGCCAAGGACTTGTGCCCCTTTTTTTCTGGGTGTCTCTGGACAGTGGTAGAAGTCAAACCTCTGGACATGGAGATATCCCGCACTGGTGGCCTTGTCCACCGCACCAGGTGGGGCTAGATTTTCTGAGAAGCAGCAATGCCCTGGCCATATTGGACAGCTTGGGGCAGAGAGAAGGTGAGCACAGCAGCAGGAGGAGGAACTGTGGGCCCGGGCCTGCCTGGGGGGAGAGCAAACTGGGGGTGAAAGCCCAGGCTGCTGCCAGTGGGGATCTGGGAGTGATGGACACGGGCTGTTTTGGTGGCATGAGCACAGGACAGGTTAACAGGTGGCAGCAACCCTGGAGGCTACGGGGAGGCAGATCCAAGTCCCTACTGGCAGGTCACCTCCTCAGAGAGGCTTTCCCTCACGGGTCTACCTAAAATAAAGCCCCATCAGCACCCACAGCTACCGTCCATGGCACTTAGACACACCTGAAACCAGCCATTGTTTACTCGTTGTCAGCGGCCTGCTCTCCTCCAGTAGGCTTTGTTTCCTTTGTGGCTCTATTTTTAGCATCTCAAACAATACCTGGCACACAGTGGGACCTCCATAAATATTTGTTGAATGCAGGGCTGAATGATCACCATCATCATCATTCAAAGAAGCATCGGTACTGCCTTCCTATGGCTGAACAGCCACTGAGCCCATGCCACGTGCCAGGATGCGTCAGTCACCCTCTGGTCTAGCAGAGTGCCACAGTGCTGCTGCCTTTCTCTTTGGAGAGTGCTCAGCAGCCTTGGACCTGAAGTGATGCGGCAAAGATTCTCTCTCTTGGGATCACACAGGTTGTGTAGCTGGGAAGGAATTTGATCTTTGTCTATGTCTGCCCTACGTCCAACTCCAAGGGCAAGGGCCTTAGTCTAGGGAGGTGAGTTAGGTCCCCCCTAGAGTCAGTGCCAGAATGGTGTTGGTCAGTTCGAAGTCGGGCTCATGAACCAGGAAAGGGAGGCCCTCAGAAGGTCCCCAGAGGTTAGAAGTTGACTTCATTTCCTTGGCTTGAAGCAAGGCCGAGCTTTCTGTCCTATAATAGAGAAGCGCTGTGAAGACTGGGAGTGGACATCTCTCTCCCATCCTAGAGGTGGGAAGACCTGCAAACAGTCCCAAGGTGGCGTGTGCCTGCAGGCTGGTGTCACCAGCCACAGCTGGGTGCCCAGGGCTCCTTCCAGGTCCAAGGCCGGAGAAGGCACCATTGTTTTTCACATCCCAGGCACTTTCCTGCTGGGCACCTCCATAGAAAGAAGAGAGTGAGGTCTCACTTACTAGGTTTCTGTGAACCTGACTACAAGCTACCTGGGTGAAAAGTGAAAAACGTTCATAATCCCTAATATTGTAAACAGGCATGAAACTAAGCATCCACACAATTGCGGTTTTCACTCTGCAACCAGAGATTTGGTGTGATGTGGACCCACAGTTCATAATGTTCTCCCTCTCTGTGTATAAACATGTATATATATAGTTTTTAAGTTATTCGTGTCTCCTGCTTGTAGCCAGAATAATTCACATTTGTATACTAACTCCAAGCTTTTGCAGATGCTGTTCTTCATTTCCAAAGGTTGGCCCTGGTGTCGCACTTGCAGGCGTCATGTCCTGAATCCCCGCCCCGGTGAGATGTTCGGGTGCACGGTAGCAATGCACACCTTGATCTCAGTAAACGCCGTGTGCACTGACAGCCCGCATCCCATCAGAGGCCTTCTCCTCACAGAGCTACATGACTTAGTGCAGGGGCCTAACCTCCCTGGGCCTCAGTTTCCCCACTCTAATTCGAACAGTTTGAGTTAGTTACTAAGTTTCCTCTCAGAGCCAAAGAACCCATGAATCAAGTAATATTTTCATGTAAACACTATCACTTTGTCCTCATTGAGAGAGACATGGTCTATGGCACCCGCCTGTGAGGGCATCTATGCACAGGCTGCCCGGCGTCCAGGTTTAGGGAGAGCATCTAATACCTGCGCACCTAAATATGTTACAGTTTTGTTTAGTTTTCTTTTACAGTTCCTTCCTGAGGAATTGAGTCCATGATGATATTTCATGCCCAGCTGGCATGTTCATTATTTGTTTGACACTATGCTTAAAATAAAGGAGAGGGCTTTATTTAATACCTTTATTTATATGCAAAACAGCGCACCATTCATGAGATATGAAAAACTCCTCAGATAGAAACCAGGTTATATCTATTTTCACTACAAAATATTGCATTATATAAAGCAACAGAGACACAAAAAAACCCTGAAAAAGACTAAAATCTTTGGATAGCAGATGTGGGTTTTTTTTTCTTTTTTTTCTTTTCCCCTTGTCTCTAAAATACACTCCTTGTTTTTTGGAGTTTCACAGCTGAGAATATGAAACATTTACAGGTTATAGACTTTTTTTTGGTTGTCACAGAGGAAAGTAGTTTCTGAATTCTCTTTTTTTTTTAGGAAAATAACTTAATTTCCTAAAATCATCCCACGCACAAACATCACACACGCGCACACACAAAGAAGCTACTCTCCTTAGAAACAGTCCGTAAAGTACTTTTTAGACATAACTACACATAAGAGTGACAACACTTTTTTAAAAAACTATAATAGTGAAGTGTTAGTGTTGCTGCTGTCACAACAAAAGGACCTTTCAAGAACGAACATCTTAATATATAAAATATGTTTAGAAACAGGGAGAAGTGGGGCATTTGTTATGCAAGTGCAACTTAATCAGAGCCGAAAGAAAGACCACAGTGTCATCTCCACAAACACGCAGAAAGTTAGACGTAATTATTCCACAGGAAAAAGTGTAAACACTTGACTATAAATAAATTGGCACAGAGTATCCAAAGTAAAATTATCACCACTCTGAAAAATAAATGTCTTGGAAAAAATACTCTACTCCTTCTAACATAAATAAAAATAGGTTGTCTTTTTCTAACTGCACCTATGAGTCCACATGTTTAAGGTCACGAAGAGACGTTTTTGGATAGATAACGGGGCACTTCGCCTGGAAAAGCGGTCGGATACTACGCTTTCCATGTGAATGTGGGTCTTTCCTGTCTTCATGAGTGTCAGACCTCCAGGTTCCGTTCTCGCCACGCCCAGATCTTCCCACAATATGTCTGTTTGTTCTCAATGTATCTTTTCAACCTTAACAAACACGCAGGGGTCGCCTGTTATGTTTGGACTCTAATCTAATCTTTCTTCCACCTCCATGTGCCTAAAATCTCTACACTTCCGAGTGTTTGGTGATTTGTTCATTAGAAAAGTCCAGATCGTCTCAAGTTATGAGCCCATACGTACTCGGAGCTTCTGCCTTCGTTTTTTTAAAACTTAAAGGTTCTCGGGAGATAAACCAAGGAGAACTCCCAGCCTCCATGAGCTAAAGCGACCACCCTTTAAGGGACCCTAACCCTGGGAGGGAAGGCTCGGAGGCGGGTCATCTCCAGTGCTTCCAGGGTGTCCGCCCGGCCTGAAAAATAACCCCCGCCAGCTCCAGGGCTCCCCAGACAATCCCACCTTCCAGAGTCGGAAGCCTTCCCTCGTCGCCCTGCGGACTGCAGAGAACGCAGCAAGTAGAGAACTCCCAGGGTCCAAGGCTCCCCAGCCACCTCCACGGCCAGTCCCTGGGTGGCCTCCCGGGCCGGTCCCGGTCCCCAGACTTCCCGACCCGCGGCCTCCTGCAGCGCGCCCGGCCCTACACGTCCAAGACGTGGTTGAGATAAGAGATGTAGCAGATGGCCAGACGCAGGATCTCGATCTTGGAGAGCTTCTTGTCCGGGGGCAGCGTGGGCAGCAGTTTGCGGAGCTCGGCGAAGGCCAAGTTGAAGGCCTCCACACGGATGCGCTCGCGGGTGGCGTGGGCGGACCGGTACTTGGCCGTGGCGCGCCGGCGACGGCGTTTCTCCTCGCGGCTCAGCTGCTGCGGGTGCGGGTAGAGCGCGGCCCGGCTGCCGCCTTTGCCGTCGCCCTCGGCCTCCTCCACCTGCTCCAGGTCCGACACGCTGCCCAGCACCTTGGCGTCCGCGCCGCCCAGCGACTCTGGGTCCGAGTGTGCCGAGCTGGGGTGGTCCGAGTCGGCGGCTTGGTCCGGACTCAGCATCATTTTGGAGGCTGAGGGGGAGTCAGAAAAATCAGTCAGCAAAAGGAATCTGGGTCTTTCGATCCGAGCGAGAGCGGCGGAGGGCCTATCCCGCAGGGCCTCCGCGTGTCCCGGCCTCCTCCCCACACCAGGCCCGCGCGCTCGGCAGAGCTGGCCCCGCGGGGAGGGACCATCTCTCCCGGGCCAGGCCGCACCCTGGGCCTGACACCTCGGCGGGCAGGAGCCCAGCCCAGCCTGTGGGCCTGGACCGGGGGACGACCGCCAGCCCGCGAGGCCTGCTTTTGTGCCGCCTCCGGCCACAGACCAACTCCGTCATTCTGCCTCCCTCAGTTCTTCTCCTTCGTAGACAAACGATTCCGGGAAATGAACACATCTGGGTTCTACGGGGGACAGGGATCCTGCCCGCGGGTCTCGCACTGGTCTGGGGCGCAGGGTGGGGAGTGCCGGGTGCTGGAGGGGAGCCCGGGCTCGCCAGCGCGCAGACTTGGGAGCCGGCGGCAGCGAGCGCGAAGGCGTCCCCAGCGCTTCTCCGAACTCTTGAAGAAATGACTAAACAAACGTGGAGGCCCCTTTCAACACAACAGTGACTCTTATGCCCTCGCAGGCTCCCGAGGCACCATCTGTCATGCAGGCAGCCACACACACATCGGAGGCCCAGGGACACAGCGACGTGGGATGAGACAATGCGCCCGGCAGCCTGCCGACCACTCCCGGGAAAATGCAGGCGGCCGGGGCCCTGCGGGAGAGGCTGGGGAGGGAAGGGAAAGGCAGGGCTGGCGGGGAGGGGGGCATGCAGAGGAGACGGGCGCCGCGCGGGACGCTCCGGTGGGAGCTGCACCTTGGCCGGCAAAGTTCGGGTGCTCGGCGGGCCTGAGTCGACAGCCCGCAGCTGTCCTGGGAGGCCCGGCCAAGGCCCGGCGGGTCTGTCCCCAGTTTTCCTAACGCCGGCTTCTTGGAAAGGCGGCCATGGTCCTGCTCCCCCTGGACCCCGCTGCGCACCTTTGGGAAGGGAGCAGCCCACGATCGCCGGGCTCACAGAGAATTCGGCTTCTGGAACGGGGTGGGTAGGAGGGGAAGGTGCCGCGCGCAAGGACCGCGGGCGCCGCGAGCGAGGACTAGGCTGCAAGCCCGGGGTCCCGCGAGTGCAGCCCGAGCGACGTCGCTGAGGGAGAACCCCGCGTGGGCGCGTGAGAGGGGTTTGCTTCCAGGGAGACAAAAGCGGGGATGAGCGGTCCGCTCCTAGCGCCGCACTGGCTTAGGAGCGAACTTGGCTCCAAAACGGCTGTGGTCCCCCTGCGAGGCAAACATGTCCTCTAAGGCAAAATAAAACCAAATGCTCCGAGTAAACTGCTTGTGACTCCCTACGGGCTCAGAACTTGCACCTACACAGCGGCTTCAAAGGGCATAAATAAATAAGCGTGCAGTGGAAAACCAGGATAAGCCACCACGTAGTTGTAGTTCAGGTGAAAAGTTCCTGGGCTGCCCTCAGAGCAAGGCAAATTCTCCTCCAGACAGCTTTTTAAAATATTCATAAATCGCACGTCGTGTATGTTATTTTATTTCTTCAGCAGTTAACTGAAATGCGTCCGCCAGTGCACTATGAACAATCTAACTTAGTTCTAAGCTGGAAAAAAAAAAAACATTTAAAGGAGCCTTACCTTGTAAAAGTCTTTTCGATAATCTTTTCTCCAATCTTTTAGAGTTAAGATTCCGGGGAAAGGGGGGAGAAATTCCGAAATGCGTTAAAAGCAGAAAACATTTATTACATTCAAACGTGCAAGAGCAGCTGTCATCTCGCCAGTGTCCACAGCCAGGGACGATTAGGTCTCCGGATGCAGACGATGCGACTGATTGTTTACTTAGTTGATAGATCAAAAATCGTCTTTTCCTTTTAATTGTTCTCAAACATTTCTGGAAATTCGATGATTTCCCCCCCTAAACGACACGGTGTGCTGAGGAGTCTCCTGCCCTTTTTTCTCCTCTAGGTCTCTATAAATAACAAAAGAGATGCAGAGATAAACAGGGTCACGCTGAAGGGCTGATTCCTTCACTTTCTAACAGCGGAAGAATCAATAAGAAAGACGGTTAAGATAAGATTCAGCTGCAGGATTCCTCCCCTTCCCTTAATAGTGCTGCCCGGAAACTGGGAAGTGCAAGGCAGAGATGCGATCTTGCTCAGAAGTGATTTTTTTTTTTTGAGATAAGGCTTTGTTCAGCTGATGTCTCCCCAGTTCCCAGGAACACAATACTGTAACTCGGGGCTACGGTTGCCTCTTCCTCTTCCCTCCTTTACGTGCACGTTGTAGAAACAGGCACCTACGTCCAGTTTCAAAGTCTTTCGAGGTCTCGGTTACACCTCCCACCCCCACCCCACCCCCTCCTTTCTTTACCTTGTGGCAAAACGTACATAGTCAGGGGCTCGGAGATGCGCGGAGGAAGGCTGGCGAAAAGTGAACGTCTCCGGGCGGAACGGTGACGGGGAAGCAGGGAAGGCGAGCGCCGGAGGCAGAGATGCGCGCGGCGCCTCGGCTCTACTGGTACCAATGGACTCAGCCTGGTGATGGTGGCAGAGATAAAGGCTTAAGCAGGGGGATGGAATTTTTTCCCCCTAAATTGATATTTAATGGGAAATCCTATTGGACAGAAACCTGGACATGAGTCACTTAATTGGACTTGACATCTGTCACAGTGTTGGAGTTTTCACAGCCCAAATATTTTAGCAGATCAGATCCCCGCTGAATCTGTGCCACACAATATAACAGTTGAAAGCAGTCCATGATAGAACCCTGCCTCTGAGCAGAGTCCGTAGCCATAGCCAGACTATTTCTCTTTTTTCAGATTATTGATGCAAATAAACAACATATTGACTATGGAAAAATTCCCCCCGTGTATTACAGTGTCTTCCCTTAATGTGTAGGAAAACATTCGTGTCCAGGCCATGAGGAAACATACTGTATTTGGTGCTACAACAGACATATTCAGATATGCACTGGCTACCCTTTTCTAGCGGTCATTTACATTTTAAAAGGCACTTCAACAAGGCTTGAGGAAGCATCTTCATATTTTTGAGAAATATCTGGCCACTGGACTAATTTTCCAATATAAGATAAAAACCTCTCAATAGATTGTCCTTGGTGGAGCTGGGAAGAAAATCCAGGCATTATAATGGCAGGGATCACTATATGAGACCACTGGACGCTCTGAATATGTTTGTTTTTCTCTTCACCCACCCATTCATTCAACTTAAAGCATGGCATCCTGCATGCGTTGAATATCGCCATTCATTCGTGCTTATTTGAATCTGTGAATATTTCGCTGCGTGGCAGTGCACTGGACCAGAATGTAAACACATACAAATCACCAGTGTATTCAGCATGTCATGCCTTTGCCTTACACGACCCTGTGGCTCTGAATTTATCTGCCTGATAACAAAAGGGAATATCTAGTTCAATTATTTTGCCACTTTATGGAGATACTATAGCCACCATCAATCAGATATTTGCCATTATTTTAGCTTTTTTCATAGGGCAAAGATAAAAGAAATAAGGAGTATTGTAGCCTTACTGCCACCTCCCTCCCCCTCCCTGGGGGAACGCTTGTGGAGAGAGGAGTCCTCACTTCCCCTCCTTGATCAATTTTGCCCTAAACACAGGTTTTGTCGTCAGGAGAGGGGGTCGATGAGGCCTCCCCCGGGAGTGACCCTCTGGGTCTCTCACAGCTGCCACCAATGCTAGGAGCCTTTGCACACATTTTTCCATTCTACAGGAGAGTCCTGGTCAGGAACAGGGTCGGGGTGCCTCCCCCCAAAATGGGCACCAGCACTTTCCAGCCTTGCCTCTGCCCGGCACCAGCACAGGACACTGAAGTAGAAGCAGAAGACAGCGCATTCAGGGGGCAATGGAACCAGGTGAGTGGATGAGCCCCTCAAGGCAGCGAAGATGAAGAGAGAAGGGAGGTTTCCCCAGTCTGGCTCATCCACACACGCAAACCGGGAGTGAGCACGCAGGTGTATACCTGTGACACCTGTGTTCCTCACCTCCCGTGACTCACAGAGGCTAGCTGGCTCTATTACACCGCTACACGTTCTGCCTACAGGTTGAAAAATCTAACTGCCATCGTTCACCGAGCAACTGCTAGAGTGGGAAGTAACTGGTATCTGTGGTTACCCTGGCGTTGGGGGAAGGAGGGGACTATGGGGGACACAGCAGGGCAGGTTAGATTCTGCTACGGGGTGTGTGCATCTACACACATGCTCTTCTCCATTCCGGCTTCCTGATTCCACACTTACAGCCTGAGTGTGCATAGGTTAACACATGGGTAAGCCTGTGCAAACAGGTTCCCTCTCAGACCCAGGTGTAGTCACGCCTAGACACACTGTCATGGGCTCAGGCGTGGACTCAGACTCACACACATGTGTTCTGTGTTCCAGGAAAGCCCCCTGCCCCCTCTGCCACCCTTGCCTTTTCTAAGACCTCCCGGCACAGACGGTCCCTCCTTCCGTGCTCCATGAGCGCTCTATTCGTATCTCCCCTCGAGATGACACACCGTGTGATATTTGTGTCTCCCACGGGGCTGTGACGCTTCCGGGGGAGGTCTGTAGCTCATGTTCCCAGCAACGGTGTCTGAGTTTGACATATTATATGGACTCAGTGTGTTTATGGCGAATGACTTCCTGTGCATGGAGGCACCAGGATATTTGTAAACAAAAACACTTTCACCTAAAGACACCCCTGGCTTCAGTTGTATCGGTTTTTCTCCTTGAGAGGACAGGAACCTTGACCTACTCACTCCACTGGCTGGTTATGAGACTTACTGTATGAGAAAATACTTTATAAAATACTGAGCACCATACAAGTGAAGATATTACAGGATATTAGAAGGAATATTAAATAACATTATTAAATCTGCAAGGGTGTAGTAAGCAATGATTTAAAAAGCCAGACTTTCTGTCTGTATCATATGCTAGCTGTGTGAATTTAAGTAAGTTACTTAGCCTTTCTGGACCTCAGTTTTCTATCTGTAAAATGGGAATATAAAAGGTATGTTACGATATCATGTTATATCCTATTTTTTTCCAAAGATGAACAAGATCATCTGTGTCAAGTGCTTAAACTAATGCCAGAACTCCTGGTGGCTATGAATGTTGTTAATAATGTTATGATTCTAGGTAAATACGTACTGAGAGCCAGAAATGTACGTGAAATTCCATGGCATATACACATATTCAGTACATTCACCCAGATCACGTGGAGGTGTGTTTGTGTATATGCCTAGACCCACGACCTCGGCCAAGAATGTGGGTTCACACTCACACATACGCATTCCCTCACACATTACGCAGATTAATTCATTTTAGCTTCACCAAGAAGCTACGAGGCAGGTGCCGTTGTTGTATTTTGTGTATTAGGAAACGGAGACATGGAGAAGGTGGCAACCTGTTCGAGGTCACATAGCTAATAAATTATTGGGGGGGGCAAGATTTAGACATAGGTGATCTAAATTTAGGAACTACAGCCACAGTGTCTGCTGCTTCTACGGCCATGGTACCCTACACAAATACACTCATGCAGAAGAAGCATTCACCACGTGAGATGCATGCTCTGAGGGGAAATTCGCGCACACACAAAACCTGTGAAGTCCCACCGTTCGCATTCGGAGGTGTCCGGTGAGTCAGCGCAGTGTGAAATGCTGTGTACCTAGCATTTTGCTCGATGCTGTTGGGTGACAAAGGCTTTACAATTATTTATAATTCCACCAAACAGTTATTTCCAACCTATTTTCTTAAATTTTGTACTCCGTTGGTAAAAATTTTGAGCATACAAATCCATCGTATATATATTTATTATTAACAAACTTTCTATATGTATTATTGTACTAACATATTCTAGTACAGTGTATTTTTTTTCTTTTTTATTCATTCTTTTTTTTATTGTTGTTCAAGTATAGTTGTCTCCATTTCCTCACACCACTCTCCCCTCCAGCACAGTTTATTATAAAGCACACACACAAAGACATTTCAAAATAATGTTACACATAAAAGGAATAATATTTATAAAGTAATTGTATTAATAGCACAAGGTAATATTGATAATATATAGTTTTTGAGAACAATAGTCTTAATTGTCTTACAGTCATCACTTAACCCTTTGTCATAGCATGATTTGATGGTCTGGCCTTACACTCAATTTATTTAGAGTCTAGTTTTATGACTAATGTAGCAGAAAAAAAGGTGATATGCAAAATTTCAAAGGTCCAAATGGAGTTCACCAATGATCGTGTCAACTTAATTACCATTCCTATTTTTCTGTCTTATCTACCAAATTTGCCAGAATTCAGCTGAAATTTTGTTAGCAAATTTTAATGTGAATTAGTTATTTTTGACAAATGGATTCAAACCCTGACACTGCATATTTGGAATAAATTTAAACAGTTTAGAAAGTTTTATTTCTAAGCTTGAAAAAGCATTCATATATATTTTAATAGATAATATATTTCCATTACATTGAGCAGCAAAAATCCCATAACAATAGAAAAATTTCCAGAAATCTCTCTTCAAAGTTCTTCTTTGTAGTAAATTTCTTTTTTTAAGTGACCATTTAACTCTTTGAAAAATACATACTTTACTTAAAGAGATGTACTGAGTGTGTGTTTGTGCTTGCTTTTGTCTTTTAATATGTTGGTAGCATATTATTGACAGTCTTTTGTCAC